CTCACCTTGTGAAACGGGCCCAAAGAAAGCTGAGCATTTGTTTTGTTGCGACAGTCATGACATGTGAGGCAGCGTGGTGGAATCAAGCTCTCGTCAATTTTTGGGTATGTAGAGCTATGGGTATGCTCTTAAAGCTCGTTCGCCTGTCTTTATTTGGATGAAAAAAATATCCATTTATCTGGAATACAAGTTGAGATATTTGCGAATGAAGGAGGTGGGGGTTACCTGTTTTCAGAGGTAAAATTAGTGAGAAAATGGCTGTCAAAGATTAGTTATTTCCTTAGAGTAAGAGCCCGCGGTAACTGAAAATTTACATTTTTGTGTGCCTTTAATCAACGTTTTTCATAAAAATCCACACAGAAATGAGTTTTTTAATGGGCATGAAAGATGTTGAGCCAAAAAACAAAAATTTGATGAAAATTCACAAACCAGCGGAAAAATGCAAGTTTCTTCACTTTGGTTATTTTGATGAGAGCCTGATTCCACCACGCTGCCCCACATATTGACTTCTAAATTTGCATTCTGACCAAAGACCTGCGTTTGACCGTGTGTGTAACACGGTAGTTGACTGGGTTCGTCATGTATTTGTTTGTTGGAGCGGGGTTTTTTTTTTGCCTGGGGCAAGCTGAGGTCACAGGACTGGTATTTGGTATGTAATATAATATAGGCCTATGTACTTGCAATTTCTCAGGAATTGACGAACTAACTGAGGCAAAATTGTTGGGTACGTTTTTGCATCAAAATTTGACCAGGAGTAGAATATAATAAGTTATTTAAACATTTCAACAAACACAAATTAATTTTTAAAAATTATGTTTGAAAAAATTAGCCAGGCTGAACTTGTCCCCCTCCCCCACATGGGACTGGGCCAAAGAAATGTAATGGCTTCCATAAACCAACTAGATGGACAGACGTCAACTCCCTTCAACAGTGATGCAGGACGCGGATGCGAGACTTCCGTCAGAACAGTGGCAGACGAGATTGAAGAATTAAATTTGTCTGTCCATCTGACGGAAAGATGTGAAAGGAGACAGATTTTTGGCCTGAATGCGCAGTAAGAAACATAAAGACTCAAGACAAGATCTGAATCAAATTACACTACTTGTGTATTTATAGAAAAAACTTTCAATTAAACACAAGCAAAGATAGTACATAACAAGATGGTTCACTTAGCCAAAAAGGTGTCCCCGGAAGTCCGCTCACTGCTTCAGATGGCGCTGCAGTTTTTGTTTCGAAGTTCTCTTTCATTTCTACAGAAGAAGAATAGGAATAGCACCCCTTTACGCATCAGCTGTTCCGGTTCGCTCAGTGAGGAGTTTTGGATTTATTTTATTTTATTGATCTCTCGCCTCTCGTTCTAGAGCCAATTTAAAAGAATAAAACAGTTGCCCCTTCCAGCTGAAAAGGATTTTTGCCAGCATAACCATTTAAAAAGGCGTTATTCCGAAATTCTAATTGTAATTTAAACAAAAACTTTGATTTTTTTTCCTCAAAAGTAAGGTAACTCTGTTTGCAAAGCCGGCGCTTTTTCAAAGAGGGCGCCACAAGATTTTGAGGACACTTTTTTAATTGGTTCAGATTCAAAGAGAGGAGTGAACCATCTTGTTATACAGAATCTTTGGTTAAACACAAGTCGCCTCTTAATGAAAACATGGAATGTTCTATGGAGTATTGGAAAAAGAAGGAACAAAATTAAAAAGTCAACATTAACTCACTTCTGCTTAAAATTGAGTGAGGGTGGCATGGTCAGAGGAGGTCAAATTGAGCACTTCTCATGTCGATCTTCATGCATGAACACACACACACCCAAATCACACAGACAGACAGACACACACACACACCCATACTCATACATACACAAACACATAAGACCTCATATCCCATGTAAAGAAATATCAGACTGCCCTGAGGCCTTCATCAAAGTCAAACTAAACAAACACAACAACTTTGAAACCTTCTGATGTTTTCTTTGACATCTTTAATTCTGGTCTCCAAAAATGTCCAAAACAATATTTATCTACAGATTACAAAGAAGGCAATGTGCATTCCTGAAAAATTTTCTACAACTTCTTTCAAATAAAGTGACAACTCTTTGCTGGGACTTCACACCAGTAAATTACGAAACTTAACAAATTAAATCAGGATTTATTCTACATTGAATTAGTTGATTAAAAAAAAAATTGTATAAAGTAAATTCAGGATAAACTTATGACATGTATTGCTTTCAAAAGGGATGTATGCTTCTCAAAAGTAGAGGGTTGAGTAATATTGTATAGGTTCATGTTTAGTTTGTAGCTTATATATATAGAGGTATATAATCATTATTATCATAAATGATACAGATTTTTGAATATCACAAGTCATTTGATTTTGATATTACTGTCAGTACAAATTATATACTTGTTATAATTGTAGTAACAAATAAAAGTGTGGATGACAAATCAATAAGAATGAATTTAACAATAACGACAAATAGTCAGCTGGTAACAACAATGCTTGATAAATCAATAAGCTTGAAAGTGCAACATTCTAGTTAGAGGATTTGATACTGTTGACAAAAGAAGCAGCAACAAGTCTTGAACCAACAGACTTACAAACAGTCGCCATCATTCATCACTGTCATGTGTCAAAATACAGGGTATTCAGGAGAAGCAAAAATTGTTTTATTTCTCCCAGGACACTATCTTGATACAAAAACTTTAACTCAGCTAAATCAGTTACTATAGCAAGAAGAAAAAAGAGACTAGGACCAGAGGATGAACCTCATCAAACTAGGACCAGAGGATGAATCTCATCAAACTTTACGACATATTTGATTTTCATTTTTCTGAAACTTTGAATCTCTACAATGTTGAAGAATCGCGACGAAATGCTGATTTACACACATGTGACCCTCACTCTGGTGAGAACACAGCAAATACAGCAATACCTGCACCAGGTAAAAGTGAAAAAAAAAACCAAAGCAAAAAAACCCCCGGACTTGAGAGATATACATTCTGTAAGTGAGATATCAATGGTTGACAAACACATCAAGAGTTGCATTGGTCTCTGAATGCTGCTAGTGTGGCACGGTATTGAACAGTTACATACAGGTAAAAAGCACAAGTAGTTTATGAATCTTTTGTGATAATGTATTGAGACAGCAATAAAATGACTAAAGACCTCATATTAAAGCTGTGTCATGTCAACAGCATTTTGGCCTGTGATGCGAGCCACTTTGACAATGATTTAGTAAAATCTTGTAACTGATCTTTGCATACAATTATAACAGACATACCCATAATGCAAACTCTGGACCAAAACTGCATCCAGTGAAAGTCCTCAGCAGTGGAAATACATGTACATTGAATAAACCCACATGGAATGACTTATACATTTGGGGGCAGGAATGAGAGATTTTGAGATCTATCATGCTCTTATTGATAGGGAGAAAATCCATTTCCTAGTGAAGTACCTCAGCAGTGGACATGCATATAGACTGAATAATCCCACATGCAACGAATTATACAATAATTGTGGGGAGGAATGAGGAATGAGAGAATATGACATCTAATGATATTATGCTCTCATTGTTAGGGAGCAAAAATCGTAGAGCTGCAACGTCACTTCACTTTGAGTTTTGGTCTGTTAGATACTTGTGGTGGTCCCTGGGACTCGTTCCTCTCCGCCGGATGGACAGAATGTTTTCTTTTTCTCCCTGTTTCAGAGCGTGGAGCTTCCAAGCGTAGGCAAAAGAACCCACCTGGAAGGGTGAAAATAGGATCACATAACAGACTTCTTGATCAATAGAACATTAACGACACAATAGCTGCTGTGAATAAAAATACAAAGAAAAAACTTTACTCAAGGACAAAGAAGTCTTGACCAAGAATATGCAAAAGAATTTCTTTAGACAAATGGAGCTATATTGTATTAGAACTTATGGTACAGCCATGCATATTATATCCATGCAAAGATAAACAATAAACTAAATACAGATGGAGGTGACTCTGAACTGATTTCTATACAAAGGTTTTGTTTGCTTTGAGTTGAGAGACTTTCTTATGTATGTACTTGTATAAAATCCACAGACAACAAAGGAACATTTAAGGCTTCTTTTATGCAATCAAGATCTGCAGGTTGCCAACAGAACTGAGAATCAGTACACAAACTAAAATAACGTGTTACTGAACCCTATGGGGAAATTTGGGTTACTAAACTATAACAAACATATATACATAGATAAGTATTTTAACACACAAATTATACGTACAAAGAATGACCAAATACACAAATTATACCAATACAAAACAATTTTACAAACATGCCATTGCATGTTGCCACTGTCCAACACTTTGTTTATTTTTTTTGAGTTAGGTTTATTGTGTCTCGCTCAACGATATACCCCAGTGACTGCCCTTCAAAACTCAGTGAGAGTCACCGACACTTGCTCGATTTTATTTGTGAGTAAATTCAGACTTGTTTTGTGTAAACTTAAAGGGTAAAACTCACCGGCATAAAACTGTCTTTTTTGCTCTCATCTTCAAGACCTGTGAGTTCCTCTGCAGACAATAATGGCAGACGGATATGCTTGACTGCCTCCCTTGCTACCTCATGGACTTTCCGCCCATTGACCACCTGAGAGGAGAAATAATGACATGCCATGTCAGTTTTAAAAAAACCTCTTCGTTGACGTAGCAGACACATACGTCCGATTTGCAGGAGGCCAATACCAATAATAATGCACATTTCGAACAATTATACAAAAATCAGATGCATGTACACGAGTCTGCATTTTTGATAGCAGGCATATTATTGCCTGCGTTTTTAAGTTTCAGATAAAGAAAACAGGACTGAAATGTGTAAGTACCCCAAAACAACGCGTTTTCAAATATATGCAAAATTCATGTCCTCAATGAGTTAATGTAGGTGTATTTATGGATGTTCCTATCAACACAATTTAGATCATTTAGGCGGCCAGAGTCCGACCCAGTCTGTCAGGGCCAACCAGGCCTGAGAGGGATACAGCATCCTAGTAGAAAGACCAAGATACTCTCTGAAAATTCTCCCCAAAAAGGAATCGAACTCGGGTCTCCTGCATGTCAAAGCGATGTGCCTAACTGCTGCACCACAGATGCTTGTCATGACATGTCTTTAACTTTTCCTGTCAACATCTTTATTAGAGAGTAAGTCTAGCGTCTTTCGGGTGAAACATCTTTAGCGTTCCACATCAACATCTTGTTAAGCAAGTCTAGTCTTCTCTCGTGTGAAATATCTTTAGCATTCCATGTCAACTTCTTTCTTATAAGTCTAGCCTTCTTTCATGTAAACATCATCATTACCATACAGATAAGACTCTATCTGTCTGATGATTTAGATCAGATAAAAGGGTTAGCACTGGAGGCTACTGAAAGGATCAAAACACAGGTATGTGACGTCGGCAGTCTAGTGGTTGAGCTACCAGACTCGTAATCATGAGATTGTTGGTTTGGGGTTCGAGGCTCAGGCCCGACATAGAGCTCTTGGGAAGGGCACTTTACATGAGTTTTTCTCACTTCAACCAGCTTTGAAAGGGTACCTGGCTAAAGACAATGTAAGATATTGTAGTTTGTTAGTGTTTTAGCACCTGTAAAATGGCTGCTTGCACTGTATGCTTTCCAGGAACCTGAGAATGTTTCTGAGTGTTCTAGGGTCTGCTTGAGTGACGGTATAGTGTTAAGAGCATACAGTTTGCCTTTGAGTGGGGATATGTGCTATACATATTATGCTGTTTATTATTATTATTAGTATTATTATTATTACTATCATTATTATTAGATAGAAGAGATTGAATAAAAATATGGCTCTGAAAAATAGAAGATTATAAACAAAATTTTAAAGAGAAAAAAAAAAAAAAAGGATCTTTAAATAGGACCTACTTGCAACATCAGCCAACCACTTAGAAATATCTAGCCATCTAACATAGCTATCTTACTCTAAAAGAATCTCTCACAATAGGTAACCACAGGAAAAGCACACACAAAAAAAAAGAAAACCTATCAACCTTTTGAACAAATTTTGAACATTATGCCCCCATGGGACGCCGATCGGCGATGGTAAAAAGTCGTCCCTTTCCCCCACAGGACGCCGATCAGCAATGGTGTGATATAGCAACAAAAACGTTGTGGAAATGATCTCCTTTTTGACATATTACATGTTAAAGTTGATTTTCCTTTTTGAATGGTTTTTGTGACCTTAGAGACTGGAGTAAATTTTTTAGAAAAATGTCGAGTAGACCTAGTATGAGTGCTGCTTTACTCTTATGCCAAGACGAGAATTTGGGTGATGAATGAGCTAGAGATCTATTGTTTTCAGTTTTAATTCTAATTCCTTTTTTGGTGAACATGCGATCATCACTTTCATAAATTTCATAATGGTAGGAGTAATTTTGTTGAGATACAGGTGTAGTACTGATGTACCCCATCTGCATCCTGGTCCTTGGGATAAGTGTTGTGCGCACTGTGTGGGAGGAAAGGGGTAAACCAGGTGTTCTTACGCCCCTATTGACACAATTTAGATCATTTAGGAGTACTGGGTCGGATCCTGCTTGTGTGAAAGTCAAGGCCAAACTGAGCTGAAAGGGATAAATCCCAGCAGAAAGACAGAGATGCTAAAAAAAAATCTTTTCCCCTCTCAGGAATTGAACTTGGGTCTCCTGCTTGTGACAGCAAACAGTCTAACCACTAAACCATAGACGTCGGTAAATCTGTCTACAATTTACTACAAACCACAAGCAAAAAAAACCCCCAAATCAAAACTTATTGATTGAAGAGACACAAAATTTGTAATTTGATCCTTACGGAATTAACTGTTGCCCACTCCTTGACCGCTCGGTACAACTCCAATTCATCCATGCTCAAACGACTGGACCTCAGTATAGAGACCAAAGTGTCTTCGCTGATTTCCTGGAAACTCTTGGATTTGAAAACATCCTGAAACAGGATCAATGAAAAGATTTTCACAACATGCTCTGCTGTAAGCTGACAAAACGCCCTTTTTCCTTTTTGGCGTCAAATTTTTTAATTTGTTAACTTGAAAGCCTGATGATCATGCAGTTTCTCTACTTGTGTGAAAAAAATAAAAAATCAGCTATAGGCTAACTAGTTTTTTAATAAATTAGAATTCAAATTTTGGAAGAACACCTTTTTAAAATGGTTACGCTGACTAAAAAAACCCTCTTTATCTCGAAACTGCTGTGAATAAGAAAAGGTTTTTCGTCAGCTTATGGCAGAGTTGTTAGATATTCTGTAGTTTGTAGATTCTGCACTTACACTCATCAGGGCTGTGGAACGTGGTTGTGGTACATAGGCCAACAAGTCATCATAATATAAATTTAAAAAAAATGATACTGGCAGGGGTAAGCCACGAGAAACATGGAGGAGATGTGTGGAAAGGGACATGAGAGAGATCGATGAAGCTCACATGGAACGTGCTAGGAAGGATGGCCCAGGACAGAGATAAATGGAAGGAGCTTGTATGTGGCCTATACCCTGCCAGGGATGAAAGACATTGATGATGATGAATGATGATACTCCTATGAATAACAATAGTTTGTATGTCAATGTCTGATGATATCCAATAGATCTGTAGAAAAGAATATTTCTTAAAGAGAAATTATAAGAAGAAATTATAAGGATTAAGATGACTTGTGGCTTCTGCTACGGTTGATGAGACCAATCCTGGCAGATTCGAAGTGCTTGGCACATATTCGCCGTATTAATTTAAAAAGAGAAATGACTTCAGCTGACATTTGAATGAATCAAAGGATTTGATCTCTATTAAAGTACTTGTCAAAGTATTCCAAACCTTGGGGCCTTTAGAGATCCCAAAGGTTAAGTTGAACTTCGGATGAGTTGATTTTTTTTTTTCACTCCCTAAATAACATCAACTCATCTGTAGTCGACTGTATTGTTCTTAGCCTTCCTATGATCCTCTCACCTAGAGGTGTTCGACTTCAGGGTTTTTGAGTTATACATCACGTCCACTGAGAAAATCCTGACTCTGAATTTGTTGTTGTCACCTCAAAACAATAACACCCTAACTTTGTAATTATCATCAGCATTCTCATTTGAAGTGCAAAAATAAAAAAATAAGACATTGTTTAATGGTGAGGCCTCTTTATAATAATGCCCCCCCCACATTCTTAAATTCCAGACAGCACAACTCTTTTCTCACTAGTCTGCCCCGGTGCTACCTGAGTAAATGAATGAAAAATGACCTCAACAAAATGAAAGGAATGGAACAAAATATAGACAACCTGATAAGATATTTTATCAGCAATACTTAATTATGGGTATATTGTTTATTAATCTTACTTTGTCATATATGGCGTTTTAGGGAAACATCTTGAAAAATCTCTGTATCTGGAATTCATTCCCAAGTCATGTTAGAAGCTGCAGGAGAAGTATTTTGGCTCATATTTGTTGACTTACCCCTGAATTATCCTCGATGAAACCCATCGTCTTTTCTTTTAAGTCATTCTGGTTGTAGGTCACGGCAGCTTGCATAACATCACAGGCGTTTGTGCTTGTCAAGTTCTCCTCCATGTAATCAACACAAAGCTGGTAGAAAAGATACAAAAAAAAAATATACGGGTACAGTCTGGCAAACATAGCGAACGCGCACATTGCGAACAGATTTTCTTATCATGTATATTTGTATTTAAAACATTCAGCTTATATCACAACAACAAAAATACTCAGCTCTAGGCGCATTACAGAAATCAACGAGTACAAAACAATAATTTTAAAAATTAGGGAAGAAAACAACAGACAATTAGACACTAACTATTCTACCATTCAGCCAAATAAAAAATAACAGCTACTCAATAACTTACGTCTCTCAGATCGTCAAGGCCATACTCCAAAGATGTTGCCAGCACATCAATAGCCTGAAATGAAGACGTTCTTTTATTTTTTTTTGAAAATTATTTATTGTATCAAGTTGTCAAGTTTGTACTTATTTTGAAAGTTATTTATTTTTATCAAGTTATATTTTTATTTTGCAAGGTATTTATCTATATCTAGTTATCAAGTTTTATTCATTTCAGAAGAAGAAATTCTGGACGTGTTGAATGTGGATTTTTCAAAGCTGTTAATTTTTATTTTTAAATGTACGTGTTTTTTACACCGCCATCAACACAATTTAGATAATCTGTTAACTTTGTTAGACACTTGTAAGTACAGATGGCAAGATGACAAGGACAAGATGATAAAGCGGCAGAAAAAAATAAAGAATTTCTGACTTGAGTGAGAAACCCACAGATTTTAAAACACTGAGACTTTTCAACCCCAAATTACTGAGATCTTTTTACCAGAAAATCCCTGAGACTTTTCACAAGAAGAAAAATCGTGAAAAGATCATGACTTCGCTTGAAAAATATACAAAACCAACAACAATTCAAGTTCTCTATCGTCGCCCTTGTTACAAGGTCGGCTCACTCACAAAATATTAGACAATTATTTTTATTTGACAAATCGGATCGTAAATTATCCATTTCATACGCTCAGTAATGCACATGTCGGTATTTTGACTACAAATGTTGCTAAAATGTTCGAAATAAAGCCAGCCACCAAAATGAAATCATAAATTAAGTTTGATGCTTCTCCTGGAAAATTCACTTAGTTGAGGTTAGCCTGACTTATCACAAAGGTGACAATATGGAGACATTTCTTTTGTTGAATATCTGACGTTACATTAAAAACTCAAATTGATATAGGCCTAATGTAGTAAACTTACATTTTTGGAAGACAAAGTTACACAGTTTGTGTAAATAAATTCCAGCATTGTTATGAAGATCTCCGGTGACATATCTGACAGTACTAGTGGGACGTCCTTTTCCACATTTCCAGCTTTGTCTGCAAACATAGCCTTAAATACAGCACATCTTGCGGACAAGAGGCATCGGTGGGCGTACACTGCCTTTCTGCCAGGGCCAATGAGGAACTTCAGGTCACTGTAAGGTGTCAAAAATGTTTATTTCCAAGTGAGTACATTTATATATGACATATAGCCAAGGACTACAGTACTAATATATATATAATATATACCTATATTTTTGTAAAATTTATGATATAATATACTTGTGCTGGAAGAAAAAAATTATGTAATTATTTATATGACTTGAAGACACTGAGCTGATTTTGACAAACAGCAATTTTTATGGCTGCCAGCAATTAATCACAGTTGAACCTGCTCTGACGGCCACCTGCACAAGACAATCACCTGTACAAACAGCCACTTCCCCCTTTCTGTGCATTATACCGTGTAAGACAGCCATCTGTCTTAAATGGACATTTTTCGCCTTGATAATGGGTGGCTGTCCTAGACATTCTTTTTACAGTATTTTAAAGCTGTCACTGAGTTTTTGTAAGTATTCCAGTGTTCTTCTTTATCAATGGAACAGTGGTAGTACCTTCCTATTTCATTTGTTGCTGATATTTACAAATAGTCTTCCCATTTATAAAATTAATGATAACTTTCAATACCGATCAATTAAAAAAAAAGGAGAAAAAGATTTTTAAAAATATATACAGTGTGATGCTAACATAATCACGACTTCAAAATGAAATTAGCATAAAATAATTTTCATGGATCTCTAAAATTTAAGACATGAAAGCATGGCTGTATATGCTACTTTCACGGGGGAAAAAACAAAAGGAATCGAAGTACTTTTAAGTGCCCATTTTTCAGGTGACGCAACCAGCCTCGGCATTCAATTGTAGGCCTATTGTCCTTAACTTTAATATTTTTGATGAAGTGACTAGAAAAATAAATCATAAGTAATTACTATTTCGGTTTGACAATTCCGAGCCATGTCACAACAACCCCAAGGAAATAGTAAATTAGACGATCTGCAACTTGATGACTAAGGCGACTATTTTTATCTTAACCCTATCTGTACGCCCTGGGGTCATTTTGTACCGCAGGGTTGTATTCTTTTTTGTTCACATTTTAGAATACCTGTACTTCTAGAGCGAAGATCTCTTTGAAACTTTCAGTATTTCTCAAAAAATCATTTTGACAGACTGCTATGCACTATGCAAAGAGTACGGATCGGATTGATTCTTTATCTCCGTAAGGGGTAAACCCACTATGCCAGGGCCCGTTTATGTTACTAAATCTAAAAATGACAAAATCGTCACTAAATTGGTGATTACATCAAAACAAGTGAACCTATTTCGATAGTTCTAAATCAAAAGAACGAAATCCTGATAAAAGAGAACTGTTTTCGGCAACTGCCAAAAAGTAACTTGAAGTCAAAGTCATAAAGGAATGCACCCGAGCCGCCGTCAGAGGCTCACCGGCACAGTGGTTCCGACCCCGAGCCGCTGGGAGATAAAGAGTTAACGTGTAAATGTCCTCTTTGGAAAGTGGAAGCACAGGAGTTCCCCAACTCCTATGGATACGATAGTAAAACACGACATACGGATAGGGTTAAAACAAATTTAAAATGAAACTATAGAAACCAAAACTGAGAGGCTTTTCCATTCATTCTTATGGACTTTAAAATATGTAATGCAGTGACTGAGTTCACAGCGCCCTGAATCGTCCACCATTGGCACAGAGGCACGACTGAAATGCTATAGTAGCTGAAAGTGAATGAGGAAACGGCACAGGAATACTCGTGTGAAAAACAATGTAGCGGTCGTCCGAATGTAACTGAGTTTAAGAGGGCAAAGGCGGGCACTGCAAAACAGCCGTGGTCGACAAGGCCTCCCTCACTCAGTGCGCGGAACACGACTTCGATCCTCTTCCGCTGTGCGGACCCGGCAACACTCGACAATTTGAAAATAAAGGTCAGTCGAAGAAACAATTTTAGGGAGAACGGAAGAAGGCCAAGGCGGGAAGAGGTGAAAAAAAGAAGTAAAAGGGAAAATTAATGGTCGCGGGTGAAGTGAGCGGGATCATCTTTAAATTGCAAACTACATTCTACATTCATGCTGCCGTGAACGTAGTCACTGTGAATAGATTTAGATATAAATCTAGATCTAGATCTAGATCTAGATCTAAATTCTAGATCTATGTAAACAGGCCTAGTCGAAAAGTCATGCTTAGCCTGCAAAGGAAAAAGTCATCACCAGTAACAGCTCATTTTTATATCATGCTTTACTTTACAATAAATTTGGTTACATTTCATATACGGCCACCTCTATTCTCACCCGGAGTGAGAATAATGCAGGCGAGTCTTGTGGCTATTCTCACCCGGTGCGCGTTCACCAAATTTTGCGTTCACCCTAAACCACAGAATTCTACACTGTGATAACAGAAAAATTGTAGAATTCTGTGCCGTGAACAAACGTTCCATTACAACTGTAGCCTACTAAAAGCGTACAATTTTGTCTGTGGGCAGTGGAGAGAGAGAGAGAAAGATAGAGAGGAGTAGCGCGAGAATTTCCGGGCAAAACAAAATGGCGACCCGCGTAGTTCGGCTCGATTCGAAAAGTTAAATAGCCGTAGCATCTTTGTAGACAACCAAATTAATTTACTTTTGTGTTTTAACATCATTTTTTAACTTTGTTTTGGTCAATTTGATCGTCCACACCGATAGACAGTATTAAGAAAGAGACAGAGAGAGAGAGAAGAGGGGAGGAGTTGATCTTGCGAGAACTTCCGGGCGGGTGAGAATAGCCACTTTCTTTATATACATTTTAGGCCTAGATCTAGATCTAGAATCTAGATTATATAATTGTTTTCGTCTGGTCGTTGGCAACAAAAAAGTTGTCTCTTGATCTAGATCTAGACTTGATCTATCTACCTGAATTCCTTGTTGTTGACCATTACCTGAATTCCTTGTTGTTGACCATTTTCTTCATCATTCTCGCATACTCCTCGATGTTCCCCTTCACCAGGGTCTCTGCTCCTGCTTGAGTCATGTTTGATTCATGTGGAGAAGGACTGCTTTTCGAGGAAGACGAATGTGACCTTCTACTCATTCCACAACGGTCAGTATTGTGGGGAAGTTCAATCTATTTGAAAAACTAGCCACTGACCAAAAGAAGTCAAAAGGAAGGAAGTCAAGTTTCAGTTTCCATGGACGCTTACATATAAAAACATAGAACGCGACTAGTTTCTGTCTCAATTCTGAAATCAAAATCGATAGACAGAACAGAAATAATGAGTTATTTTAGAATATATAATCATGTATTGTCCTACATAATAAATATATACATAATACAACAAACTTAAGATGATTAAAATAAAAGTTTATAGAGTTTATTTCCGTGAGAGCAACGCAAAAAGTATGAACGTGTTGGTTAACGAAACGAAACCAAAATGTAAACAACACGGCATGTTGACAATTGACAAACCAATCTATTGAAGTTGACTGCTAGGCCTGACCGGCTGCCTAAATAGAATAAAAGAATGGCACAACCGCAAGACTGTGTTCTCCCGATAACAGGAGGACAAAACGATTCAGAGAATGATTTACCCCTCTCCTCTAATTTCAAGCACGTTAAAGTTAGACATTTTGTCATGGAGCTCAAGTGTTCTTTTCAAGAGAAACGTTTTGACGGTTCGATAGTGCTGTTCTGTCAGTTTTCACCCAACCACAGCGAGGCGAAGGTTGCTGATGAATCAATTATCGACAGCAAAGACTCAGACTCATGTTTCAGTCACGCAAACACACCTGACAAAGAATGTGAAATAAATTTAAACCAACAACCATTTAATGAATGTTTATTAAGTAGGAAACATCATGAAGTCTGTCTTGATTGTCACAGTTTAGATGTATCTGCTTGCTTTAAGTATACATTGTCAGAGAATGAGTCGGTAAATCTAAGTGCTATTTTGTCAAAGTATGCATCTGCTAATCTTCAGATTCCAGCCATTGACCTTCAGTCTTTAAAGAAGATCCACAATGATTTCAAAAGGGATACTAGCGGTAGTCGAGCTAAGATGGCAGTGGATTTTAGTATGGATACCCATTGCTTAAAAGTTGCTCTTCCAAAGTCTTCACATTGTGATCATCATGTGGCTGTTATTGAAATTCAGTTCAAAACTCAGGCTGCAGGTCCTTCTTTGATGTGGACATTTGATCAATGTCAAAGGTACATTTTCATAAAATAATTTCAAGTGGAATTGCAGTTGTGCCAACAGCTATTTAAACAAGAGAAAGAAAACAATTGAAAATTATAATGATAGCTTGGTATAAGAAGACTATCACTTTTGAAAGAGAGAGAGATAACGATAGTCCAGAGACTAGATTCTATTCTCTTTCTACTTTTTCTTCTTGTGAATTTCCGCGCACCAGCTTACAGTGGTCTACTTATATAACAGCCTCCTCTGTAATTTAAGGCAATCACCTGTACAAAAGGCCACTTCCGATTTTCCCTTTGTTGAGGAGAAAAGTTGCCGTCTTATACAGGTGGACGTCTCTCACAATGTCATTTTATACTGTAAAATAAAATGTAAGGGGGAAATGAGAAGTGGCCATTTGACAATTTGTAGGCTTACATATAATATAATGTGATTGTCTTAAACAGGAGACCTTTAGAGCAGGTTTAAGGGGCTCTCGTGGACGAGAGGTTACGGTGTTTGCCTCTCATTCAATAGGCCCCGGGTTTGAATCCGGATATCGACGGAAAATGTTCTTCTCTAAAAATGTAAGGCATCATGGTTAAATCAGGCACTTGCCAAATAAATGAACCGAAGAAAATGGCGTTTTTCCGCCGGTTTGGCAATTGTTTTCAAATTTAGTTTTTTGGCTCTACACCTTTTATGTCTTTGTAAAAACAAATTTCTCTCTAGATTTTATTGAAAAATGTGATTTAAGACACAAAGAATACATTTTCATTTCCCAAGGACCCTAAGCTATGGAAGTACCAAAATCTAGCGGCCATTTTCTCGATAAATTTACCTCCAAAAACAATCGGAAATATCTCGACTTCTATTCACGTTAGATGGATATTTTTTTTTTATCGCATGCAAGGCAAATGAATTATCTTTAAGATGACACCATTAACTCAACATGCCCAAAAATTGATGAGCACCTGATTCCACTGCATCGTAACACAAATGTGCTCCTTTAACCTCCTTTCCTGCTCTCAAACAATGTTCAGTCATCTTCTTTCGTCTCCACTTTTTGGCCGCTCCCCCCTCATCTCCTGGCTCCTGACTCTTTCTGCAGCCTTTCTGCTGCTACTCCTTGACTCCTTCTTACTGCTGTCTTTCAGCGTCACGCCCTGATCTTATGGTAAGGGAGATCTAACACTTAGCCTTCATGGATAAGGGCGAAAAATATCATGGGTCCCGTGTGTATGTTGCGCATGTTAAAGATTCCTTGGTGATCCAAAATTGATGAGAGTAGGCTTTGTCCACCAGCTGGGCAAAATTCAAAGTTGATTCCTACTAAACGGAAAAAGTTTAATGTGTCCCACGAGCTCATATGACCTTATGCAGTTTGGAGAGCCGTAAAACACTTACTTAGAAAAAAAAAGAGCAGGTTTGACTGTATAGTGTTTCTTTACCCTGTGCTATAATGGTGTTGTTTTTTTAAAAATATTTTTTTTAGAGAGTGTGTCTTCACTATCGGCCATCAGCTGAACAACAGGTCCCTGTTCCCTGCTCAGGACATGCCGGAGGCGATGGTGACGTGGCACTCGTCTGTCACTCTGGGAGACGCCACAAGTGAAGAGTACACTGTTTTGATGACGGCTGAATCGAACCCTTACATTTATCAGGACGTCAGTAGGTTTATTATTCTTTTTCTCTAGTATTGTCACACCTCGTCATAATATACTTCCTTTATAAATGTATTTCATTGCCATTTTTTAACATAGATACTATATCCTTTATGTTTAAAGAACAACATAGATGCAGTTAAACTTGCTCTACTGTTTGAAAACTGTCACCTGTTCAAGATAGTCATCTCTACACATCAGAGGCTTACTTTTAAAATTTGTTTTGATTTTTTCTATTTTGTTTCATTACAATACTATACCAAGGAAGGTTTAAGTATTTTGTGGTTTTATTGTAGACAGACACGGATGACTCAAACAAATCGTGGATTAATTCATATATTCGACTCTCTTAATTTGGGTGAACTGATGAAAAATATCAATTGCGGAATGGCAAATAGTACGAGCTATCCGTAATTTCCAGTTTTCCAAGTCTGTGTTTTCTATGCCCAACTGTAATAAGTTTCTGCCTATAGAGCCTGTGGTCGAGCAGGGATATGCACTATACATCATCATCATTGCCTTTCTCACCCTGCACCAGGGTATAGGCCATGGACAAACACTTTCCACCTTTCTCTATCCTGGGCTAGCCTTTTGATGTTATTCCATGTCTTCCAACTTTTCTAAACATCAATTTCTGTGATTCTTCTCCAGGTTCCGCACAGTCTTCCCCTTGAATCTTTTACCCTGTGGATTCCAATCCAACACTTTTTTTGCTGTGCTACTGCCTCACTTCCTGAGTGTATGTCCAATCCATCGCCACCGCCTTCTTCCTACCTCATCTCTGACTGGGATCTGTCTTGTTTTCCTTAACACTTCCTCCTTTGTGACCCTTTCTGTCCATCTGATCCTCAGTAACTTTTTTAGACACTTAAAGAAAACCTGGATCTTCTTTATGCAAGCTTGTTATACGTTCCATGTCTCACGTCCTTACAACACAATTAAATTGAAAATTCTCAGCTTTGTTTGAAGTGAGATGTCTCTGGTCTTCCAAAATCCTATTCAAAGATTTGAAAGCAGCCTGCGCTTTTCCAATGCGGGACTTTATTTCAGCACTGCTGTTCCTCCCTCTATGTCAATTTTGTCCTTAGGACCATTGACTTTCCGGGGTTGAATTCTAAATCCAACAGACTCTGATAGGTTGTTTAATACTGAAGTCTTTGATTCCATCTGTTCCTAGGTGTGCAACAGAAGGGCCAAGTCATTCACAAATTCCAGATTGTCCAACTGTGTCCATGGGGTCCACTGTATACCCTTTCTGTGTCCTCTGGTGGTTTCCTTCATCAGCCAGTCGACTGCCAATATGAAGAGGAAAGGTGATAGTAAACATCCCTATCTCACACCAGTCTTGATGTCAAAGCTGTCAGTGAGATGGCCATCATGCACAACCCTGCAACTTGTCCCTTCATACATGCTCTTGATGAGGTGCTTCAACTTCTGTGGGATTCCGTGATATCTCATTATCTTACATAGTGTTGCTCAGTCTATACTGTCAAAGGCCTTCTCATAGTCAAGGAAGTTGATGATCAGCAGGGAGTTCCACGCCAGGGACTGTTCCACATGACCCTCAGCGTGGCAATCTGGTCGGTGGTTGAGAGGTTTTTCTGGAAACCTGCCTGTTCAATCCGTAGCCTTGGATCCGTTGCAGTCTTGATTCTCTCCAGAATGATTCTGTTGAAGACCTTACCTGGTATTGAGAGAAGAGTGATCCCTCTGTAGTTGCTGCAGTTGCTGAAGTCCGCCTTTTTTGGAAGCTTCATGAGGTGTCTTTCTTTCAAATCCGTCGGGAACTTGCTCTCATTCCAGATTCTGGTAAACAGTGGAGGAGGAGGTCTGCCGTCACATTGGCATCTGCTTTTAGGGCCTCAAGTGATCAGGACTGGCCGCTTTACCTTTTTTCAGCTTCTTAACGACATCCAGAACCTCTTGTTTGGAAAGAGCATCACAGCAGATTGGTAGCTCATTTCTTGCTGGCAGAATGTTTGGTGGGTTACTTGGGGGTGGTCTGTTTAGGAGACTGCTGTAATGCTCTACCCATCGTCTTGACTGAGCTTCCTTTCCAAAAATGGTTTTCCCCTCTTGGTCCTTTACTGGTACTTCAGGTTTCCCGTACCGTGGAATCCACTTTTAACGAGTCCTGAAATGACGAGAAGTCTGTTATGAAGTCACTATTCTAAAACCCCGTTTCTTTCCTTCTTTATCTTTGTAAATAAAATACTGCTATAACGCAATCAGACAAACGCACTAGTCAGTTATAGTGGAATATAGCTGCTGCTGTGCACAGTGCATAGGCCATTTATTCATATGTAAACCTCGCCAGTTGAAAAAACTTGTTGGTTATCTTGCGAAACAAAAAATGGGAGCGCCCATGTGTGCCTACATTTAAGGCCGGAGCGAATGAGTGGGGAGAGTGTGGCATGCACAGACAAGCAGAACGCATCGTGTGATAGGCCAGCCTAGTCTAAATTTTCTTGGCCTACCATGCCTCTCACTTCTCCGATGCAGGGATGAGAGGTCATAGTGTTGTACTGTGATGAATGGAGCAAATGTGTGACGTGGGCAGGGTGTGGTAGATCTATGTTCCCATTGTGCGCAAGCAGACGGAACGCTCCACAGGGTGTGGTGGGGTGGGGGACAACACAGCAGGTGAGTTAGCCGAGAGAACTTTCTTTCTGATCGCCAACGCCGAGCTGTCAACATCGCTGGCACTAGAGAAAGAAACCTGATTCGACATTTGATCAAGTAAGACTTAAAGGTCTTGTTGAACCAAATCATCATCAGGGGAGATTACAAAAAGAAATATACCGAAAACCAGACTCATAGTAGTCATAGATTAGGCGTACTTTACTATTTCCCTTGAATTTATTACTGGATCCCTTATAACGAGAGTCCTGCTATAACGGACATTTCGCACCGGTCCCCTCCCTCTCGTTATAACAGGATTCCACTGCATTTTCCTGCAGGAGTCTTTGTGGTCTGGCAAAGGATTCGCATGTGCCCTCCTACCGCTGCTTCCTCTGCTTTCTCTGCTAGTCTGTTCATGAATTCCTTCTTGTCTTTTCTTAGTGATTTCTTGACATCCTTAGGTGTTTTCCTGTACTTCTCCGATGCATCCACTCTTGGTCCTCTTGTTCTACTTGCATTCGCTTCTGCCTAATTAAATCCAATGAGTGTTGGCTAATCCATTCCTTGTGCTCCCATTTCTTCTTGACATGTTGATGTAAAGACTTCTTTGACCTTGATCCAGTGTATCTCCACCTCCATGTCCTCTCCATGAAGATCAGCCAGAGGTCGAAATCTGTTCCTCAGCTGCAGCTGAAACTCCTGTTTCTTGTGTCTATCCAAGAGACTTACTTGGGACTTTGTTCTTTTGGATCCTGTGTCGGTTCCGTGCTTTTTGAGTCGAAGTTTGAGTTTTGCCTACTGCAGATGATGATCCGATCCAAAGTCTGACCCTCTCTGTACTATGACATCATCCAGTTAACGCCTGAAACTACGAGAGATACAAAAATAATCTATCTGGTTCTCCGTCACTCCATCTGGCAATACCCAGGTACCACTCCATCTGGCGATAACCAGGTAGCCTTGTGAATCCTCTATGCGCTATACAAATGTTTTATTATCATTATTATTATTATTGTTATTATTATTATTATTATTATTATTCCTATTATTATTATCATTCTCCTTTTTGTCATAAGATATTATAGTGCGTTCAAAGATTTTAAAATAGTTACAGAAAAGGGAAGTGTACTCATTTGTGATACTTGCTTAAAAAATCACATACTACATTTCGTTATTTATTTTCGCAGATGGTGCAAAAGTATTTGAACACTTCAGTAGTTTTTTGATGCCGGCCTCAACTTTTGCTCTTGCCGTTGGCTGCTGGCAGTGTTTAGAGCTGTGTCGATCTGAACCCTCGGCCAATCTCCTGGATCCCTCTTCACAGTAGGTTCCTCATGTGTGAGGCGTGGTGTTGAAATCAGGGGCTTGTCAAAATGTTTAAATCAAAGATACCAACATCGTTTTTTGGTTCAACACCTTTTATATCCAGTTATAAATGCATTTCTGTGTGCATCTTATTGAAAAACGTTGATTAAAGGCACAACAAATATAAATTTGCAGTTTGCAAGGATATTTAACCTTTGAAAATCTGTAAACTTTGGCGGTCATTTTCTCGCTAATTTTACCTCTGATGCCAAGTGATCCCTGCTGTCTTCAGTTTTAAATACTTCAACTGCTGTTCAGATAGATGGACATTTTTTTTTCATCAAAAGCAAGGCAAATGAACAGGTGTTAAGATTATACTAATAACTCAATATCCCTAAAAATTGATGAGCTCCTGATTCCATTGAGTCTTGACATATTTGTTGCTTTCTCATATCAAGAAACTGAACACCAAACGATAAGCTTCATTATGAAAATGTTGACAATCATTCCTAAAACTAGGACTTTGGAATAAAACTACAGTACTTAAAATTTAATGACATGTTTCGCTTATAGGTAGGTATTGATTAGATGTGTATGGCTGAATAATTGGAAAAACTCATTAAAAAAAAAAGGTTGGAGACAGGAGTTTCACTGAGTCATTATATATATGTTTCCAGTGGGCATAATATCCCAGCTACGTTGATTGAGAGTGGACCCTGTGTTGTGAGGTAGATTCACTGAAGGAGTCAACACTTTTCTTCTTTTTTTTTGGAGCGTGCTCATTTCTATCAACTAGTGCTTTTGTGTTTTGTAGGTACAACGAAATGTGCAGCAGGTAAACACTTTTCTGAAAGAAGAGCTGCGTTTTAGTTTCTTAAAATTGTCTATGGTAATTCCCACATCCCTTATGTCTTCAGTCGTTTCTGTTGATTTTTCTTTATTTCTTTTTTTGGATATTTTTTTTTCTTGTAACCATCATTTAATTAAGATAGCTCTTCCCATCTCAAGCAAAACAATGAACACACTTTAGTATCAGTAAAGAATTTTAAAGCACTTGCAAACAAATAGGTCATATTAGTGCCCAAGATTAGAGGATTTGCTAGAGAGTAACAAACAAACTAAAGGAGGGAGAGAGATTTGATAGGAAAGAAGGAGCAAACTGTAATGATCTTCTTAACAGGCTGAACTGATTCTACAACCTCCCCCCCCACACACACACCCAGTATTGTTCCATGTCGTCTGTTCGGCCCTGAATCATTGATGGAGTCTGCTCGCAGTCAGCTGTCTTGGTACATGCCACGGTGCTTTGAACGGGTCCAGCATTCGCTGGGCAGGTACCCGCTGCCTCGTCTTGACATCCTCATTGTTCCTGCCTGCTTCAACAGTCTGGGCATGGCCTGGTGAGAGAACCTAGTATACTTGTCTGTCCCCGTGGTTTTATGAACCCCGCATAATTTAGCAAAATTTGAGGATTTTATGTATAATTTCTTATTATTTTCCTTTATCATTCTTTGTTAAAATTAACAGAATCGCATAATTTCACATTTTTGGGCTCAGTTTGCATAATTTCAAAATTTTTCTTGCATAAAACGACGGGGACAGACTTGTTATTAGACATGTGTGACATCGTGGTAAAATCGGGTGCTTGTCAAAATAACGAAGTCAAAGAAACTGATAACTTTCTACACAGCTCAATACCTTCCACGTCTTTCTAAAAGTACATTTCAGTTTAGTTTTGACTGAAAAATGTTGATCTAAGGCCCCAAAAATGTACGTTTGTAGAGCACCAGGAGGTGGGCACTATGGAAATGATTTTTCTTCTTGTTTTTCTTATCCTTCTTGTTTTTGTTCTTATTCCTCCTCGTCCACCCCTTCCTCGTCCTCCTCCTCCTCGTCGTCGTCGTCGTCGTCGTCCTCCTCCTCTTCTGGTGCTAGTGAGCATGGAGAAGAGATGCAGGATTCTTTTTTAGACCAATTCTGCAGCTCTTTCAATTTAGGTGTTTTAGTTTCTCAGGGTTCCCTTGACTTCCTCAATCCATATAATAATATTATTACTATCTAGTTAATATACATTTTGTTGGTGAGGTCGATAAAGCATTTATGATAAAAACACTTTTATTATCTAATCTGCTATCATTTTTTTGCATTGGTGGGGCGGATAAAGCATTTATGATAAAAAAAACTTTTATCAGCTCATTTACAATCATTTTTTTGTTTTGGTGGGGCCGGTAAAGCATTTATGATAAAACACTATAAGTAACACATTTGCTATCATCTTCTCCTCAGCCCCTGTCTCATGTTCCTGTCCCAGTCTGTGCTGTGTCGGGACATCAGTATGTTTGCTCGTGTGTCCCATGAACTGTGCCACACCTGGCTGGGCATCATGACAGGCCCGTCGGACTGGACAGAGGAGTGGCTGACTGAAGGTGTCTGCTGCTACCTGGAGGATATTCTACATGCGTCTGTCATGGAGGTACAGTGGTTGCTTAGATCTTTCCTTCTCAGTTATGTTTTGTTTTTCATTGGTTAATTGTGGCATCAGTGGCCTAGTGGTTAGGCTCTCAGACTGGCAACTATAAACTCGTGGGTTCAAATTCTGTTTGGGGCTTGACGTTGTGTCCCTTGGAGAGGTTCTTTGCACTGATTTTCCTCACTTCACCCTAGTGGGAATGGGTACCCGGCTATAGACAGTGAAAGATCTTGTCAGTTTGTGAGTGTTTGAACATTTAATTAGCTGCTTGCACTCTCTGCTTTACGGGAGGCTGAGAATGTTTTTGAGTTTTCTATGGTCTGCTGGTGTAATAATATAGTGTAAAGTGCATAGAGCTTGCTGTCGAGCGGGGATATGCACTATACAAATGCTATTACTATTATTATTATTATTATTATTTTTATTATTATTATTATTATTAATAATAATAATAATAGAGACAAAATAATTTTATTTACTTATTCAGAAGTGTTACCTTTTTGGTACAAATATCCTCTCTAGTAACACCTCTAATCTTTGGCACTTATATGACCTAGTGTTGCAAGAGCTGTAAAACTCTTACTAAAACTAAATTCTCCTTTTTTTTGTGTCCCCAGTGGACTGAAGAGGAGACACAAGAACGTTTGGAGCTGAGAACTTGTCTCAAACTGCGACTGTTAGAAGCTGAAGTGGAGCACACGCCACCTGACTTACAGACCCTCAGGTAGAGAGATAAGTCCTTTCTAACGCTCTGAGGGGTAGAGAGATTTAAGTCTCTTTTACCACCCCAAGGGGTAGATAGTAGAGAGATAAGTGTGTTTAAATACAGTTAGGGGTAGAGAGATTTAAGTCGCTTTTAACACACCGAGGGGTAGAGAGTAGAGAGCTAAGTGTGTCTAAATACAGTGAAGGGTGGAGAGTAATGTCTTTTACACACTGAGGGGAAGAGAGATAAGTCTTTTAACGCACTCAGGGGTAGAGGGAAAAGAGATACGTCTCTTTTAACACAGCAAAGGTAGAGATTAAAGAAATAAGTCTCTTTAACAAATCAAGGGGTAGGGTGTAGAGAGAGAGAGAATGAGTGGGAGAGAGAGAGAATGAGTGGGAGAGAGGGGGGGGGGGAAGGAGAGAGAGAGGGGGGGGGGGAAGGAGAGAGAGGGCTGAAATACAAAGTCTGAAAGAGAGATAGAGAGAGAGAAGGATAACCAGGAGAATCCTATCATGAAGAGTTAAATGTATTCGTCTTGACTTCCAGACCCAACAAAGGCGAACCTGTCTCTGCAGACAAAGGGAAAGAAGAAGTCACCTGCTGTGTCAAGAATGGCATGAACTCGGAGAAGACTCTGATGCAAGTACACTATTTGAAGGTGAGAGAGATACCATGCCAGTCCGCCTACACAGTGACTATACACTGCCCACACACTTATAGACACAAGTCGATGGCTGACACAATGGATATTTTTGCATAATTTTTTTTTCTTTTTCGGCCAAGCCCCAAGCCTGGGGCCTGGGGATGGCAGGCACCTTTCAATTTATGGACATTGATACTAGTGTGCAAACATCAGCAGTGCTTTCCGATGCTGAAATTGTGGAGCAAGTGAAGGAAGCTTCTACATCTCTAACAAACAAAGAAGACCATGAGCAGATAACTGTGACACTGAACTTTGCAGAGAGGCAAAACTAAAGTGTGGAGAAATTGAGATACTAATTACTATTTCGTAGTCAATGGAGGGGAGCTATTTTTTATATTCTACATGCAAAAGTTTGTCACAGACGTTGGAGAAAGGGAGAAGCAGCAAACATCCATAACTTCCTTTTTTCCTTCTCTTGGGAAGAAATAAGTTACTGCACATGTGCAGTGCGTGCTATTCCTATTACTATGAGGCAATAGGACTATGTGAGAAAAAGTATGTTTGTGTGTGTGTGTTGACTGAAACATAAAGAACTATTTTTACTGCCCGGGCTTGTTCTTTATATGTGTTCCAGTCAAGGAGCTTAGAACTAATGGAGCCTCCTCTCTCTCTTCGCGGCGCCGCGAGCAGTACGCCGCGTAGGGGATCAAATATGGCCACCGAGTGTGGGCTAAATCACGAACTGTGGCGTTTCTTTTTATAGAATTTTATCGGGCTAGGCCACGTTGTGGGGGTGGGCGGGGGGGGGGAATACACGCAAGGAAGAGGGAATGGAGCTGGGATGAAAGAGGAGGGGCGGGCCTTGGGAAAAGGGACAAAGGAGAATGGGAAAAATTAAGACAGACAGACAGACAGACAGACAGACAGAGAGAGAGAGAGAGAGAGAGAGAGAGAGAGAGAGAGAGAGAGAGAGAGAGAGAGAGAGAGAGAGAGAGAGATTGTGATCAACTGACGGGCTGACGGATAATGACAGGGAGAAAAAATTATGTGTGTGATACGGACTGTTCAATTCTTTAAGAGTTTTATGTTATAATCTAGTTTAAAAATCAAAAGATGTGTAAAATAAGAAGAAAACTTGTCCGAGTAACATAAAATTATCAAACATACCAAATTAAAAAGATAATCTTTCAAGATGCTAAAATATATAATTATAAGAAATGGATGAAAATATACTTTTAAACTGAATTTAAGATATATGATTGCATGATTCTAGGTGTGTGCCATAACTAACTTTATGTGTAAGGAATAGCGGACACACAAGAGGGTCGATGTTTGCTTTATCTAATTGCTAACAGTATGTCTTGGTCTATAAATAATATTATTGATCACAATAATTTTGTTTCCTGGTTTTCACAAAGTGGAGTGCACAATGATTTCAAATATAAAAAAAAAAAGAGATATCAGCACCTTTGGAGGTGTGATCGCATGCATGAGCGTGGATAACCTTTGAAGTTTTTGTTTTTTTTCAGTAAAGTATGATATGGAGAGCAGCGTTTTTAGTCCCTTATTACACTCCAGAGGGGGATAATTTATCTTAGTGATGACTCTTTTGTAGTAAAATTTGTTGTTGCTTTGTTTGGTTTATTTTTTAACAGCAGAGTCTTAAGTGAACCGGAATTATTGATTGTGGGATCTTAGGTGAAGACTACAACAATAGAATTAAACAGAGTATAGTTCTATCTAACAAGACTCAAACTCTTATCCACCCCACCCTACCTTCTCCCCTCATCTGATATGGTTTGGTGTTTCTTTAACATAGAAAATATTCATCATTATTGTTGTTGAATATTTATTTCATGTTCTAATGGAGCCTCTAGATATCTACATTTAGACTACAGTAGCATCTAATTTGCACACACAAAGGAAAGCAATATCTTTAATTAAAATGTATAATATGTATATACATACACACACATAATAATTATAAATATACTCATAATAATTATATATATTTATGAATAAGAATACTTTAAAAAAATTGAGTACCTCAGTCTTTCTGCTGGGGTGTTGTATCCCTTTCAGCCTGGGTTGGCCTTGGCATGTAGCGCCGGGGCCAGCCTCTTATGAATTAATGATTTAAATTGTGTTGCTGGGGGCATAAAAACACTTTCATTCACATTTTTTAAAAGGGAAACAACTTAACTGTGAAAACTTCGGTCCACTGCAGCATCATATCGGTTCTTACACTTAAATACAACACAGGTGCAAGGCAATTTTACTAATTGACTTGCCTAATCTGAAGGACCTCGGAATAAAACCTTCTTTCTTATCTAGATTTCAGTGCCTTAATCGGGCAATCGCGCAGCGCAGGTAGCCCACGGTTACGCCGCGGGAGAGGGCTCCTATCAGGCGTGCGGTGCCGCCCACAGAGCATCCTCCATTACTTTTAATCTCCTTGGTTTCAGTGTATATTTTTTCACATATAAGTAAGGGAGCTCATGAGGTTTTTTTTTTAGAATCTTCTTTCAGTTTTGTTACATCCCTTGATGTAAATGTGGTTCTTTTTCACCTGTGCAGATTGGCCTAGTGTATTGTCACTGTTAAGATTTTTGTTGTTTTTGCTTTCTGTAATGTTGTCATTTTTTCACACAGTCTGTTTTTTTTAAAGAACTAGATAAAGTAAGTCTATTGGAAACTTGAATAGGATATAAATCCACAGTGAAAACTGCTCTAACAGCCACCTGTGTAACACAGTCACCCATGCCGTAGGACAAATACATGTAGTCAAAAAATAGTATTTAGGGTTTTGTGAGTGGAACGGAGGGGGATTACCCTCTCTCCAGTCTGTTATATTCTCTCTTCCTGACTTCTGTGTTATGTGATTCTAAATGTGTGTCTGGTGAAATATGACCATTGCGTTTGTGGCTGTCTTTGGACTACAATTTAACATCTAATAGTAATAAGATTTTATTTCCTCTCAGGGCTTCTTTCTTCTCAAACATCTGGAGCAGGTAGCAGGGAGGTCAAAGTTTCTCAAGGTGCTGAAGGATTTTATCACTGACCACCTGGGCATGTTGTTTTCCTCTCAGGTGAGATGTGTGTCTGTTTTACAACTTAAAATATTTGTATGGTATCAGTTTTGTTTATTTTCTTTTTGTAAGTGTTTTACGACGCTCGTAACTGCATAAGGTCATATGAACATGCAGGACACATTAAGTATTTTCAGTCTTGTAGGAATCAATTTTAAATTTTGCCCGGATGACGGCTGAAGCCAACTCATCAATTTTTAGGACCACCAACAGATATTCAACGTGAGCGACTTGCACATGGGACCTCCCAGAAATTTTCGCCCATATATGAGAAGGCTAGGTGTTTGATCTTAACTACCCACGAATCAGGGGTTTGGGTGAAAGACAGCAGTAAGAAGGAGCCAAAGAGTAGCAGTAGAAAGGCAGCAGAAAGAGTCAGCAGCCCTGAGGAGGGGGTTAAGGGGAGGGGGGTAAAGGGGAAGGGGGAAGGGCAGAAGGTGAAGACGAAAGCAGACAATAGAACATGATTAGAGAGCTGGAAAGGAGGTGAAAGGAGAACTTTTTCATTTTAGAGAAGAAAATTTTCTGTCTCTGTTAGGATTTGAACCTGGGACCTATAGAATGAGAGGCGAACACCGTAACCTCTAGACCTTGAGAGCCCCATGGTGTCAGTTTACATTGATTGTTAGAAATTGTAGAAGAGTAGGTCATCAGGCTGCCACCTGGGTAAAATTAAAAATAGGGGTTGGAAGTTTCACAACTCCAAAACTATAATTGTGTTGAAGGCGGTGTGAAGTATACAGTTATGTTCCATTTTTTCCCCTTTCCTTTTCTCCTCCTTCTTAACTCTAACCTCTGTGCTAATCTTTATTCTAATGAGTTTGTGATGGATAGGATGTTTTGTGGATCCTGAGAGCCAAAAGCCAAAAGAAAATAAGATTCCAGATTTTTTTTTCTTCAGTTTGACAACATTCCCTAAATGAAAGCCCCGGTATACCAAAGAATATCCGGTAGTCCTGCAGATTTCGGTTCAGGCGGACTGCACTGTACATTGTAGACAGTTTAACTCAGATCTCAAACAAACCCTAAAAGCTGAACAGCTCAACCTAAAGAGAGATATTTTTGATGACGTAGAGGTGATTTCTTAATCTTCCGTTGGTGTTAGGTATGGAGCAGACATTGATGATCATGGTACCCTACTCTTTTCTGTTGTCTGTCTTCCTGATCAGCTTGTTTTTCCTCATTGTGTTATTAATTTTGTTGCAAAGTTGTTCAGGCGATCTGTGAATGTTGTTCTCTGTCTTCCTCGTCTCTTTCTTCCCTCTAGCTTTCCACACAGCAGCAGTTTCTCTTGTCCATTTGATCTATTTATGTGGCTGAAGAATCTCAATTACCCCCCCAGGGCGGTGCTACTGACTGAAGTGTCTTTACGCCATTCCCAAAGGGGGGACATTAATATGTTCTTATGCACAATAAAATGTTCTGTAAATGGGCTGATTCATCAATGTCATGCTCCTAACTGTGCCTGAATTGCAACGGGGAGCTGCTGCTTTTTCTTTCCTAATCTTCACTATCGTCATTTTTCCTCTACTTCTTTTGTATGTTTGTCACACTTTTATGACCCGCTATTTCCGGGGTGCCTTGACAGTCAAAGCAGATTTTGTGTTGTATAAGCTAGAGAGGTGAGCAGAGTAAGCCTGATTCCCTGTAAGGACTTCTCTGTTGACAGCCACCCCTTGGCGCTCATACAACCATGTGCAGTTGTGAGGGCCGTAAAACCTCTACTAAAACTAAACGAATCTCAAATGTCTTTTTTCTAATGGTTCTGGTTATAGATCTTACAAAATATACCATTTTGAGCACTTCTCTATTTCTTTTCCTCTCTGTCCATGAGAATCTGAGTATTCTCATTAAATACCACATTTTTTACGGCTTCCAGTCTTTGCTGTGTCCTTATATTTAGAGTTTGAGAGGACAGGTTTCATCTTGATGATTCTTGGAGGGGAAAAACAAAGTAAAATCAGTTGTACATTATTTTGGATGTGTGATGTTGACTAACTTAAAACCACTGAGTTCTGAGCTGACCTTTACCCTAACGTTTGAAGGTTTTTGGTTTGAGTGTTTCAAAGTCTCCAGTTATCAGACTGATCATTTTTCTATATCTTCAGGAATTTCTGGAGTATCTTCTTCAAAACTGCCAGGAGTTGAGGTAAGCTGTTTGTGTTTTCTCTTTGTTTGATCTATTTTCTGCTTGACTTTTGCTGGCTTTTTATGTAGTTAGATGTATATTCTATTTTCTAATACCTTTTTCCTTTCACATCTGCCAGACAGTTTAGTTTTTTTTAAAGTTTTAGTTAGAGCTTTACGGCATATATAAAATACATAAGTCATATAAGTAATGGAGATTAGAAGCCTTACTAGAGAGTAACGTACAAAGAAAAGAAGGAGGAGAGATAAGTATAATGAATGTTTGATAGGAAAGAAGGAGCAAACCACATAAAGTACCAGTGTGTGTCTTACACTTTTCTTTTGCCTGTTTATCCCACACTTGCCGAATGTTTTTTCTCTTCTTTTCTGGTTGGAGGGAAATGGATGGAAGCCCTGGTTCTGGTTTTGTTTGCTTGTATTTAAAAAAAATGTCATGTCATGTCAAATTGCTCTTATCGGTTTCTCATAGTGGATGCTCTGCTGTTGTTGTTTCGGCCTTTTTTCCTAACAATTGTTAATATTTGTCCTTATTTTCTTAAATAATATGTAACTGTCGATAGTGACACTTCTAAGACTAATCTTTGGGATATATGTGACCTATTTTTGTTTAAAGTGCTCACGGAGTTTTAATTTCCAAATGGGGTAAATTTTTATTAAGTATTTCGGTCTTTCTGCTGGTATGTTATTTCCCTCTGGACCCAGGTTGGCTCTGACAGACAGGATCGGAAGCCTGCCTCCTAAATTATCTAACGTGTTTCGATGGGGGTGTAAAAACACCAACATTTAAACCTTTCTTCGCTGAGGCATATCCATGCACTCACGGTAACATTTTCATTTTAAAGAGATCTTCAACAAAGCCACAAATATGTCTGATCTCCCTTATGGAAGAACACACAACAGCACTGCATTTATATCTCCTAAAGCTTCCCCTATAAACCAGTCGAAACTGGCAGAGAACGTTAGGGAGAGCACAAGCGAGCACATGACGTCTACACGGCATTGATGAGGTTTGAAATAGAATTTTTTTTTTTTAAAGAAAAAAAAAAAGAATTGCAAGAGGTCGTTGCAGTGCTAAACGGGCATTGGTTTCTTTCTTTGCTATAAACACTCTTTAAACTGTTATGGAAG